AGTTGTATTTATGGTTGCATTATACCTAAACTTTGGTATAATTATATATATCAACGAGTACTCTCCGATTATTACATCGAAATATATGTACGAAACTAAARTAAGGCGGTATTTGTATTACTTTAAAAGCGAGATTGCATGTTTACGTACTCTAAAAATACGAAAACCATTTTTTGTTCTTCATTGTTAAAAAAGTTTTTTATGTTGATTAATATTTATTGCCTTAATATCTGAGAAACAAATTTCGAGTTAAAGATAAATAATAACTSTCAAAATAGATGTATTTGTAGGTTAGGTTAGGTAGGTATTAGTGGTTAAAATGTTTTTAATGATTTCATATCTATAGTAAAAATATACTAAAGCATATTAAGCTATTTTTTTTTTTTTTTGGTTTTTCCGGCCTTTAAGACCATCCCGAAAAACAAATTTTTATTATGAATAATTGTAAAAATTAGAGTATGACGCGATCGAGATACTAAATTAAAAATTAAATTTTTCATCGAGTACCATTGGTTAGGTTTTCTGGTAGTATATTGTGTGATACTTAAATTACATTTAATACCAATTATTGGTGTGCATTATACAGTAKCGTATTTATGGAAGGGCTTATTGCGTTATACCTTCCCTCATAACGCTATTCTTTTGCTTAATGCATATTTAAATTGGATCATAACTAATATTTCAATACATTTTCAACAATATATTAGTTTCGATATTTAGCTTGATTTAAGATATAACTTATAAACTTATACATTTATTAACGTAATTAGGACGTTATAAATAATAACTTTAATGTAATGTTATTTAATATTTTAAAACCCTCAAAAGAAAAACAATGGTTTACAATTAGGGTCACTGACAGTATACATTTTTACAATTTTTACTTGAAATTTATTAATTCATGATATCTCAAATAGTCAAAACTAATTAACGAACTTTACAATCTCAATAATTTAAAAAAAAATCAGCTTGTAAAAAAAATTCGTTATTGGATTTAACTGACCTTATTTGGCATGTAATGCTACATAATTTTCAAAAATAAATAGCAGTATAATTTAGAGACATAAGTTTGAAAATTATAGCCCCGCTCACATATCCAATGTACCTACCCAGTACCCATATTACCTGAAAGAACGGTGTTGTGTTTACCTATACTATATTTTATGCTAATCAAAAAAATCGACGCCTATTATTAGCATACATACGACCTTTTTATAACTTGGCTTAGCCATGTCTAGTTTTCAAACACTTTTCAAWACTCAAATCATACCTACGAATACTTTCAGTATTCAATTTTTAACGACTTAACGTTGTTTCTTTATAGTCTATAGCACAGACGTTGGTATAGACTCTATACCAACGTCTGTTTCGCTGCTACAGCAAAGAAGGCCAACGAAAGAAAAAGTAAAATAAATTCTTTTTCAAATGTAACATTACACCCCTGTTAGTCTTATGAAATGCTTATAGAATAAGATTTCACACAA